GAGCGCAGGAGCGGCTGGGGGGGTGGGTGGGGGGGGGGGGAAAATCAAACAGTGCCACAAAAACATTGGTTTTGCAATAGATTTCCCACCTGCTCTAGGGCAATAAGGCCAGACTACAGTACTACAACTCCCCAGGGTGGAGGTCATGAATTCTGAAATCACATGGGAACAAAAACTAGATCTTTCAGCAGCAAAACAGTCCTTAGGACTTAAATTAATGTGAAGTAACTCCTTGGGCAGTTCTAGGTTGTTATCCTCCATGTGGACCAGCCAGTAGAGGGGCAGGTGGAACACATATAGTTAGGGTTACATGGCACAAAACTATGTGGAAGCATAGCCTGCCTTGTAAGCAGCAAAGAGAACTACATCACGGCTCAAACTCTTGCAAATCCCACCTCCAGGGCTGGACTGAATTCAAAGTGCTGAGGTCTTTAAGAATGTTCTCTGATTTGAGCTCGTCTTCCTTAGGGATGCCCACACAGTCACAACCCACTGGATATGCAGGGATGCTGCTGCTGGAAATACTCATACTTATGGTTTGTGGATATGCAGTGTGACCTCAGCTTTGGCCCTCTTTGCCAGAACAAGCTCTGCATTCAAGCTCTGATATAAAGTGCAGCTCTTTGTTCTTTCCACATTTAAGTAATAAAACCTTGTTGCCACAGGTGGAGACAAAAAGGCAAAAACTTCTAGACTTGTTGATTTTTGTATCATTCTATATGCTGTGTAGGTACCAAAGCAGCAAGGACCTCTGAAATGTCATGGACAGAAAGGTAACATGGAAAAAAAAAATTCTCCTTTGGTTAGAGAATCAAGTTGGCATTCTGGAGTTTGGAACAAACAGCAAAGGACGCACTGCAAATTCATTCTCAGGATCCTTTTCTCCTTTCCAGAATGGCCGGGAATATGTGAACTGCTGCACCTCATTGGCTCTGTAGTAACTAAGGAAGAACAAAGTAACTGAGTCTTAGAATCACAGAATAATAGAAAATGATGGTTGGAAGGGACATCAGGAGGTCATCTAGTCCAACCCCCTGCTCAAAGCAGGACCAACCCCAACTAGATCATCCCAGCCAAAGCTTTGTCTAGCCAAGTCTTAAAAGCCTCCAAGGATGGAGCTTCCACCACCTCTCTGGGTAACCTGTTCCAGTGTTTTACTACCCTCCTAGTGAGAAAATTTTTCCTAATATCTAACCTAAACTTCCATTGCTGCAACTTGAGCAAGGGAAATTTAGGTCTTCTCTTAGTCTCCCTCCCAACCTTCTGCTCCTTTGCACAAACATCCAAATTTAAACCCGATTATGAAATACCTGTGGACAAAATATAATTAACATGATTAAAGTCTCCCCATATAGACTGCACAGAACCTGTACTCAAGCCATACTAAAGAACCACGCCTTTAAGCCTAGGGTAGACAAGGATTAAGCTGTGGCCAAGAGGATCAATCTCTTCCTCAGATTCTCTCACCCTGTCTGTCTTCCTAATCTATTTAGATTGCGAGATCTTCGGGCAGGCACAGGGACTGGATCTGCAGTTAGACTGTCTAGGTACCACATTAAGTAAAATAATACAGCAGCCATACAAAACACAGTATGGTGTCTAACCCTGACCAGTGTTCCAAGACAGACAGGGTTTTAGACCCAGAAGAGAGAGTCAGTTCACATAGGAGGCTCTCCGTGGCTGAACTTAGTGAGGTTGAGAGGAGCGTGCCCCCTCTCCTAAATACTCGTTTCATGAAAAACAAATGCTACAACACTAATATCACTCTACAGTGGCAAATGGGGTGCTGTTAATGGTGCCCACTACAGTATGTAGGTAACTCCTAAATCAGGCACAGAAAAACTGTGACAAATGCTCTTGATAAGGCTTGTTAAAGTGAGAACAAAAAAAGGGACAGAAGATAAAATTACTTTAAAATCTGTTCAGGAACAGGTTTGTCTTTATAGTTTGGTGGCAGGTTCATCACAGGCTTCACTATAAAGCACTGCACATCTGAATGATTTCTGTTAAGGACAAAAGGCACCATGAACTCTGACAGGAGAATAAATGAAAGTGCAGGATAAGCTGGAGGGGATAAAACATCTACTACAATTTCCAGCTAACAGAATTTCCCTCGAGTGCAAGACTTATACTTTGGGGACTAAAAGAAGAAGGTTATTTCCCAGCAACATAAAATAGGAGGGTGTGCACTTGCGTGATTTACAAGATATTTCAGTACCCTGCAACACATTTTGAAATTCTTTCACGAAACAACCCAAAGAAGTATTATATCATTTCACAGAGGAAGGGGATAACTTCTATCCCAAACAGAACAGTGCCTTTAAAAAGTGGTTTTAAATGACAACCCCAGCCTTCTGTTAAATAACCCACAGGATCATCAAACTGCCCATACCAAGTGTGTACTGCAATAAGTAGTACTGGCTTCCCTTTTAAATTGAGTTTGCAAGAATCAGAGAGGAGCCTGTACCAAATCCAAAGTATGCAGCTGCTCCCTTTTGTTACCAAAGCCCCAGATCCAAACACCCCCATCCTTCTGGAAGAGCTCAGATCTGCATCCAAAATCTGCAGTTCAGGTTCACCTCTAGCCAAACCACCACAGCAAACACAAACAGATGCAAAGGAAGCAGCTGAAATGCAGTAGAAATTAAGGCAACATTTTCAGAACCACATTTAGTCTTGAATGAATTCTCATTTCCTCACTGGATTTAGTGTTTGGCAGGTTTGGTGCAGGGAAAGCATCTGGTATCACTACTCGAGATGTGCCTTTGTGCATAGCTTTTAAAGCCAAAATGGACTAGTAAATTATCTAGTCTGACCTCTTGTAGGACACAGGGCCAGAGAGTTCCATTTCTGCACAGAGCCCCCTAACTTCTGGTTGACTAAAGCCTGTCTTCCAGAAGGGCATCCACTCCTGATTATGAACCCAAGAGAGATCAAGAGAACGCAGCACTTCTGTGATAGTTGGCTTCAGTGGCTGATCGCCCTCACAGCCAACGAAGAAGTCTAGAGCTTCATTCTCCACTTGTCTCGCACCAGTTTTGTTTCCAATGTTCGTAGTGACAAAGAGAGGGGTAGAGAATCAGAAATCAGCCTCCGGGATTCTTAATCCTGAGCCCTTCATCAATACCAAGAATCATTATGGACTTCTAAAGAAAAGCAACATGTGGTAAAAAAAATAAAGCAGACCTCTGCATGAACACTGGTAAACTACACTGCAAAAATGAGACACTGTCCCTCCAGCTATCCCATTGTCACCCTTTGCATTTTGCTTACTCTATTAAGAATTTGGGAAATGCTGGACCACACCTCTGGTCCATCTAGTCATACATCCTGCTGCTAACACTAGCCAGCTCCAGCTGCTTCTGAGTATAGTGGAAAGAAACCCACAAACGGAAACCATGGGATTGTTTGCCTCCCCAGTTCAGGTACTACTATAACAGATATTGGCTTGAACTCTATTGCACTAGGCTTTGTAGCTCTTCCAAATTCCTGGGGTTTTCTTCGCATTAAATCTATTAACTCTGGATATTCTTATCTTTAGAAATGTCCAATCCCTCTTTGAAGCAGGTTTAATACTTGCTAACAAATACATCCCTAGGGAACAAAATGTAATGAAGAGCACTGGCATGACAATGTCTACCATCCCAAGAAGAAGAAGTTAGTCTGGAATAAGACAAACCAAGGCACCAGTTAAAAGATACACTGTTTCGGAGAAGACTTGATCTCCTCTCCTGGGGGTGCGGTGCTGGTCATCTTTTCAGCATTTGGCAACTGGGTCAGTAATTTCAGGTTGAAGTCTTCCCTCCGTTCATATTCTTTGCCACGGTAGATAAAGATTTTATTCTGCAGGCAACAGGAGGAAATGAGTGTGTGTCTACCAACAGATGGGGTGCAATCTGAGAGATTACATATTCTGACATGATCTTTTTTATATTTTTATTATTGTACAGATAGACATTTTAAAACCAGAAGGGACCACTGCAACCATCTAGTCTCAATTCCTGCATAAGCCATGGCAATTAACCCTTGCTGTGTTCAGGGATAAACTGCCCTGGCTTAGTTTTCATACATCATGGGCAATCATATGAGTGGGCAATTAGCCAGCTACTGATCATCATCTTCTCCACAGTAAGTCCCTAGCTCGACTGTTTATTCACACCCATAGAGTGATGCACAGTGGGAAGAAACAAGAGCAGAAATGAAAGCTGGAGTGGAACATAGTGGAGCACTGAAAGCTACAGTCAATTCACAGGAGCAAACCTTGGTAATAACAGTGACCTTTTTCCAGCCTATATTTTGTCATAAGAAGTATCATTAGGTTTACTCAAGTTATCTAGTACTTTCACACAAAAATATTAAACACATGTTGTGAAACTTTCAATAACTAAGTGGTAAGACTCTATATGGAAATCAGAAACAAGACCTTGCAATGGTGAGCCAACACAAACTATTCACTGAAAACACTGTCAGGTCACCAACTTGAGCTGGGAAGAGGCACTGTATCAAGCCTGCTGTGTACAGTGTGCTATGAGAAGCTAAGGTGCTAAAATCTGTAAGTTTAAGGCCAGAGAAACCACTCAGATTATTCAGTCTGACCTGTTACATAGCAGAGGCTCATCTTTTCAGCCTTGAGGGATGTGACACTTGGGGTAGAACACTGAAAGGCCATGAAAGGGATGCAAGGTACTGAAAACCACAATGCAGAGCAAAGAAAATGCTTTCCACATCCTTAGCCTTATAGGTCAAGTATTCTCTGTCAACTTATCAAGAAAATACATATCACAAGCAAGTTAAATGGGCTTACAGTCTTGATTTCAAATAAAGGGATGCCAATCTAAAAAGAACCTCTGACACAGCTATGGAATTACAGAGGACTTCACTGGAGACATATTTTTTCTTTAGTTAAGTGAAATCTAGTACAGACTGTACACAGGGTAGGCTCCCCAATCTTTCCCAGACCCGTCCAAGGTTCAGAATGAAGATGTTGCTCCATTGTCCATGCCATTGTTGGCCCTTCTGTAGGGACTGCTAAAAATGTGGGCAAACGCAATGAGAGTTTTGCAACGTGAACATATTACTGGAGTGAGACCAATTCATTCTGCACAAGTGGTGACTTCTGTTCAATGGCATGGACTCAAAGGGCTGACCTACCAGTTGAAAGTCTTCGATTATCAATTCCAGTCCCCAAACCCCGAGATAACTGGTACGACTAAACTCAGTTTCCTTGTAGGACCTGCACCTTCAAAACCACTCTGACTGGAAATGCACATTTTCCCCTTTTAATACACACAGGTTGGAAACATTTCTAACATGCTGCTTCCTACCCATGTGACTCACGCCGGCTGCTTTCACCAGTAAAATTCAGCCAGCTAACAGGAACCTTGAGTAGAAAGAGACTTTGGTTTGGGGTATCTGGGTGGGACTGAACCTCATTAACTCTTCTCAAACAGTTATGACCCATACTCAGGTTGGGTCGATTCTTTTGCAAAGAAAACCAACCCTGTGACAAATACCCTAACCCTACTTGTGAAGAAATTGCTGTGTGCAGATAAACTTGCACAGCATTTCCTCCACGTCCATATAGGAATACTTGGATAACTTCATCATACAGCTGCAATCCACCACAGCCCCTTCATTTTAACATAAGTGAGAAAGTATGCGTTTAGGCTGAAATTGTTCTGCTATTTAAAATTATTTAGATTTTTAAATATTAAAATTATTTAGATACTCAAGCACCATCCACATTAATAGCAATTTGGTACCCAGATATCTTAGAAATATCTGGCACTTCAATCCCTAGTATGCCTTGTAGCACCCATCACTACAGCATCCCAGGTGTTCGGAAGATTCTTACCCGAAGGAAGGAAGGGAAACCCTGTCCATAGTAGCCAACAGCAAAATATTCTGGTTGAGGTCTCATTGCCTTTATAATATTCTCATAAAATGTAGCTCGTTTTTTCTAGAAGAAAAAGAATGAAAAACCCTCAATGTTTCATTTCTGAGTTCACTGGGACACTGCCAAGCCAAAACTCATATTTACCATGTTGTTTACTTCCTCTGTGCTATGGTAACATCTATAAAAATGTTTCTTATGACTGTTTATACAATATACCAATTTAATTTTTTACAGTTTATTGTGTGCGCCTAATTTTAGATTTCACTTTCACTGGATGGTGGACACTAGGACTGGGGTGAGTCACCAAGTCAATTTTCCTTCTTAGCTCTCAAAACATGTAAACAGTGCTGTAGTTTCTCTGATTTCAGGATAATTCCACTAATTTTATGAAAAATAAAAAAGCAAAAACAATAAGAAGCTGACCAAATGCAAATGGTAACAAACATCATGGACTGGCAGGAATGCAGTGGGGCAGATGAAAGAATAGCAAGACAGGATGCGTTTTTGAGTTATAAAAGGCAATAAGCTCCTTGGAGCACTGACCACCTTCTATTCTATGTTTATAAAGCATTCAGCAGAAAACGGTCCTGGTTTAGGACTGGAACGCCCAACTGTGATCACAATACAAGTAACAATACGTGAGTCACTCAACAAGATGCACTGAAATTGTTCTACAGGTATAGAAAACACGGACAAACAAGCCTGATAAGTGCTAAACATATCAGAGTACTATTTAGAATGAAGAAGGAAGAAACATCTTTATGACTGAAATGATATTTTCAGCTTTGCTATGCTAATACCTATACTAAAACTTAAAATAAAAGTATAAAAATATTCCCCTAATATTAAGCTTTGCAAAAATATGTATTGCTTAAATAAATGATAAATATGTTGGGCCTGAACTACTTGATATGCAGCAT